AAAATTTATTTATTTTTACATTACAATTCTTAATACACCCCAAAATCACTTGAAAATACAATTTCTGATGGGTGTTAACAAGCCAGTCCCGAGTCTCTGTCTCATTTCATGTGATCTGTGAACCTGACATTTTGAAGGTGACACAGGACAGAGCACATACTATGAGATTGAATAGGTTTGGGCAAATCTTAACTGTGAGTCTTGGACACATTACTTATCTGATTTAAGATTCACTTTTGTCTCTGAAATAAGAATGATAATTTCCTCCCACAGGGCTATTATGAACTCAGAAGGTATCTTGTAAAGAGTAAGCACTCAGTGGATTTTAGATATTAACTCTGGGGTCACAGTTATCATTGTAAGAAATACACCCCAACCCTCCAAAGACAATAAGAACAATGCTATTCTATAACTGAAGTGCTAAGAAAATTGTGTGTGAGAAACACATACACAACATTCCCTTGTATTTATTAAACATTTGGCCTATTATACTGCAAAGCAATGTAGAAAAGCTATTGGTTTTTGCTTTTAAAATACTTCCAAGAGTTTATAAGTGTTTCACAGTTGTTGCTGGGAAATCTGTTTGCACTATGTGCTACTTCTAGTCCATTATAACCCCCATCCTCATGTTTTCTTCTATTTCTGACACTTTTGGGTGTAAAAAAAAAATGCCCACATCAGAAGCAGCAGATGTGTAGTACCTGGATTACAGATATAGTGGAAGAGAAAAATCTTAGGTAAGAAAGAAAACCATTACTTTTAAATGAATTTTCAGCTGGGGGAGACTGCAGTATTTTCTCAAGTTTTGAAGAGCCCAGTTTGTTTTCATGTCTAGATTTTAGAGTGCTGGACCTTGCCAGCTTGGAACGCTTCAAATCACTAGAAGGAAGAGAGATGGAACCTCAAGCAAGTCATTCAGACCATTTCTTTTAGGCTGCTTAGACTGAAGAGAGAGAGAAAAAAACCTGCATGATTTCCTAATAATTAGTAAATCAACCATCCACTTAATTAATAAGTAATTTACCTGAACAATTTTTGCATTTTTCTCTTCTGAGTGTTCAGAAGGTACAGGAAAAGCCTTGGTGAGCTGCAAATGGAGTAAGAACAGAAATGGAAATGTCTTCAGACCGAGCATGGCCTTTTCTTCAATTCTACCTCTCCTGGCCTTCCTTTCTGCTCCTCTGGGTAGGGCCTAATGGGTACACTGAAGTTCTCAGCATCCTGTGATGTTCCCGGCTCTCTTTTGGTCCCTTATAAAGCCATGTCTTTAACAATTGCTGCATCAGGAATATGAAGCAACACAGGTTCATTACACTCTGACAATTTTTGCAATGTCAAAATGTGATTTGGTACCTCAAAATGGGTGAAGCTTTCAATAGAAAAAAGACAGTATAATTTGCAGCTCTGCTTTGGGGGTTTTATTTACTCTTGCAAAATTGTTTGGTCAAGAAGAAGGAACAAGGGAATAATTCTGAAGTTATTGGTTTATATTTTTTGCCTATATAAGATGCTGGGGCTGTATTAGTTCATGCAGGGGAATATTATTAGATTAGTGGTAGGCACATTGGGACCAAGAAGCACAACAGAATCTCTGTTCTTATCCACGCTAGCTCTCTGTGGGGAGACTGAGTGCCTGAATGCATTGTCACAAAGTAGGCTTTGTATAGAGGTCCCAGAGCAGCATTTAGAGGATGTGGCTTTGGCATCAATGTATTAGAAAATCCCCAAACTGTGAGCTGGATTTCCCATAGAAATGACAGAGGGGAAAAATACTGATGATGATGATGATGATGATGATGATGATGATGAAACTTGATAAATATTTACAACGTCCCAGACATACACACTGTATACACATTACTTCAGTCCATGCTCACTCAGCCCGGGGAAAGACACACTGTTATTATCTCCATCCTACAGATGAAATCAAGTCCAGAGAGTCTTAGATGACTCACTGTTTCTTGTGCCTGGGACCCAGAGTTCTCTTAGGCTCTCTCCCACAAAGATGAACTGTCAGTCATTTATACTTCCATGTGAACTTAGGGAAGACTGTTTCCTATAACATGAGTTTCAGAGTCTGTTAATAAGATGGGGGAGGTTTAGTTTTAAACAGAAAACATGCAAGGCCACGGAGGAAATTTCTGTCTCTTTTAGTACTTGGTCACTGTTATGGTTTGGATCTAAAAATATCCCCCCAAAAATCTTAAGTGTTAGGCAACGAGCAATGTTCAGAGGTGAAATAATGATTATAAGATCTGTAACCTCATCAGTGAATTAATCCATTTGATGTTTTAATAATTTGAGTGAACTACCGGATGACCATCAAAGGAGGTGGGGCATAGCTGGAGGAAGTAACCAGCTGGAGGGTAACCATGGACTGAATGTGAGCCAAAATAAGCTTCTCCTCCTCTAAGTTTTTCTTGTAAGGTTATTTTAGTCACAGTGAACAAAAGTTGACTGACACAGCTCCCTCCCACCCCCAGACTATTCTTATCATCTGAGGTACCCTTGCACAGCAGAATAGCAAACTGCATTTTTATAGCTCAATTTTGCTTCTTAGGCCTGAAAAGATGAAACGTTTGCATAATCATGGTCTATTTTCTCTTTAGTTACAAAATAAAGAATGGATTCAATTGGCTGGAGTGGGCATGTGCTTGAATCTCAAAGGGCGAGTGAGAATTTGCCAGTGGGTTATATGGCCCAGTAGGAGGGAGCGTAGATGTGTACCAAGCACTGACGTTTACCCAGTGAAGCTCAGGCTCACTTGACTCATATTTGCCTCACATAAACCAAGGCAAAATATCTTCTGTTTCATGCCTTTTTGAGCTCCGTGAACAGGATAGATGCATAGACACTCTGATCAAGTTAACAGGATAATGTTGGGGCCACTTGTGATGAAGAATAAAGAGCATTGGAGTTTAAATTAAAGTAACAGGGTTCTAACTGTAGTCTTGCCACTTCTTATGCAACTATTTGGCAAATCTTCTAAATCCTTTTGAGACTTATCTTCCACATCTATAAAACTGGTACATTAACATCCCCCTCATAGGGCATCAGGAGAATTAGAGGCAATCATCTCTGGAAAAGCTCTATGTGAGCTCTCCGGTGCAGCGTCCCCTTTGTATTATGAATGTGGTTGAGTTATAGCTGTGTTAGTTCATGTGTCCATTCTGTGAATGGGTTTACAATGTTGAAAGTTCCTCTTTTCTAAAAAGAAGAGTATTTCAAAGTTAAGCCACTATGTGGTGAAGTAACTTCCTTGAGTTTCCTTTACTGCCTGGCGCTCAGTTTAGCTAGGGAACTTAAGTATATGGCTTATTGTCTTTGCACTGAGTATAAATATCACAAACCATCATGTATTGAACACCCTGCCAAGCTGGCAGTCTCTCCTGTCAAGTGAGGGAAACATGTATTAAGTGTCTACACTCTATAGGAATCTGTCTTAGATGATCACATCTTACTATCTCCCTTCAGCTTCATAACTGCCCAGGGAAGTAGGGAATCTTATCTCCATTAAAAGAAAGAAAGAAAGAAAGAGAGAAAGAAAGAAAGAAAGAAAGAAAGAAAGAAAGAAAGAAAGAAAGGAAGGAAGGAAGGAAGGAAGGAGGAAAGAAAGAAAAACTGAACTTCAGAGATATGGTTCCAACCTACATTTCCATTTACCATTCCTAGTAATCCCCTTTATTCTCCCAAAGGAAATTTCAAAATAAGGTTCTCAGCCTTGGCTCTCTATCAGAATCTGTATTAAAAACACAAACAAGGGGCTGGGGTTATGGCTCAGAGGTAGAGCGCTCATCTAGCATGTTCGAAGTGCTGGGTTAGATCCACAGCACCACATAAAAGTAAATAAATAAAATAAAGGTATTGTCTGACTACAACTTAAAAAAATTAAAAAAAAAAACCCTCCCAAACAAGTAGTCTCCTTCTAGGGACCAAATATTGAGTCTACCCACCCAAAATTCATATACTGGAGTCTTAACACTTAAAGTGATGGATTAGGAGGTGGGGCTGTGGGAGCTAATTAGGTCACAAGAGTGGAACCCTGAGGAGTGGGATCAGTGCTCTTGGAAAAGGGACCCCAGAGAGCTCTCTTGCCCCTTCCATCATGTGAGGATGTGTTGAGAAGTCTGATCTAGGACGT